TCTTCGTCTTTCTGCTCGCCTGTGTGAACGATTGTGAGGAATTTAAATTTTATCCCAGAGATAACGTTTAATAAACAGAGAAGGTGCTGTGTCCCTCACCAACATACAGTCCTAGTCAGTTATGGTCTTTATTTTCTATCCACAAGAACATTAAGTAAATAAATGGAAAATATATTTTATTTCTGGATAAACATGAGAATTTAAAAAATTTAAAAAATAAAGTGAAAAATCTGACAGTGATTTCTTTAAAAATTAAAATGTTCGTTTTCATTTTTACTGCAAAAAAAGCCTCAGGTCTCGTCACTTGACTGGTTAAACCAACACATTAGTTAACAATACTTGGTCTTCTGTTTATAACAGTTTTAACATTTGACAACAACTGAATTTTTTTTATTAGAAAATAAACAGATTGAATTTATATCTTATAGTTTAAACACCTAATTATAAAACATCTAATGTATTTTTCTCCAAAATTAAATCTAGTTTCTCCTCAGAACCGGAGTACGACCCAGTGAAGTAGAACTTGTAAAGTCAGAGTACGTACCATCTGCTGCTGCTGCTGCTGCTGCTGCTGGTCGTCGTCGTCGTCGTCGTCGTCGACTTCTTCTTCTTCTCACTGGTGGCCGGGGCCATCAGGCTCAGATTTAAGTAGAGCAGCTGTGGGGGCCGTGGTGAGGTGACGATGGTCTGAATGGATTTGGGGCAGTTAGGGACCCTGGGCCGGGGCACACAGCTCCCCTTACATGGTCACGGTGTGTGGTGAAACCCTGGTTCTCCTGAGGGCCTGGAGAGACAACTGCTGCTGCTGGAGACGAGCAGAACCTTTTACAGAGTTTCTATTTAGAGAATTCAAACACGGAGGTCGGGGGTCACGGGATGAGCTGCAGCCGAGAGAAGAATCAGCTTTAGATGACGAAGGAAACAAACAGAAATATTAGACGGCAGACTGGAGTACTGTGAGGCGTGTCAGTGAGAGTACTGCAGTACTGCAGTACTGCAGTACTACAGTACTCTCTATAAGTCTGTTTTCAGGCTAGCTTGGGTTTGAATCCCAACTTATCCAGCTGTGGGTAAACACAGATTCTTCTTCTTCCTCCTCCTCTTCTTCTTCTTCTTCTTCTTCCTCTTCTTCTTCCTCCTCCTCTTCTTCTTCTTCTTCTTCTTCCTCTTCTTCCTCCTGTTCCTCCTCTTCTTCTTCTTCTTCTTCTTCCTCTTCTTTCTCCTCTTCTTCTTCCTCTTCTTCTTCTTCCTCCTCTTCTTCTTCCTCCTGTTCCTCCTCCTCTTCTTCTTCTTCTTCTTCCTCTTCTTTCTCCTCTTCTTCTTCCTCTTCTTCTTCTTCCTCCTCTTCTTCTTCCTCCTGTTCCTCCTCCTCTTCTTCTTCTTCTTCTTCCTCTTCTTCTTCTTCTTCTTGGAGTGGTAGTGACTTATGGTAGGTGGTCTCTGTGGACCACTGTGTTCATCAGGTGACTGTGTTTTTAATGATCATGTTCACTGTCTCAGCGTTCACACTTGTCCTTAGTGTGAATGACTCAGCATACACTCATTATTAACATGTACCGATTCAACAGCCACACAGTTGTTTCACATGTTCATTTTTTATAGAAATATTTAAAAGAACACTGTGTTCAAATATGAAAGGTGTACATTTGAAACTTTAAACCTTAAATCGGCCCAGGTTTAAAATTCTACAAACCAAACTGTGAGTTTGTCCACAAGGCGGTGCCAGAGTCAATCTTCTCCACTCCCTGTTGCTTTCAATTGTTTAAAATCATTATTGATACAAGGAATTAATAATGAATTATTCATTTAATTGAGATAACGTGAATGTCCAGGGTCGTTGTAATCTGGTATTGATTTTTCTCTCTCTTCTCTCAGACCGACACGTTGATCGTTGTGCCAAAACAATCGATTTCATTTTTATTTTTTTATGCGACTGATGAAGACTTTAATGGACAAAGTGTCGACTGTGTTTATTCTCCAAACCAGATCAATTCACACTCCACAGATGAATCACCGTGGGATTCTGGATTCATGGAGAAGAAACGGTTTCGAGATCCGCTACTGTTGACAAATCAGAAAAAAACAAAAAACAACAAAACGATAGATTGCGTAAAAAGGCAACTGACGTTGGTGTCGATGCCTGAGGGAAAATAAAGTTTCATTTGACAGAATGATTTCGGCTTTTGTTTCAGTGACTAAAACATTTTTGATAACGAATATAATTCTAAATAGATGTTTTTAAAGTGATTTTTCAGTACATTTCAGTCGAGCCGTGAGGGCGTTGCACTAACCCCGCACTAATACTACACTACCCACACCCCCCCGCGACGGGACATGTTGTAGGAAATCCGCTTGCGGCGGATTATTGTAATCCGACAGAGGGTCTGGACGACACATCGGATCACAGAGGGAAAAAAATAGCCAAGCGGCCTGGATCAGATGCGGCTCGTCTGAGAATAGAGAGTAAAACTTGGAGTATGACCCGCCGCCCTGCTCGGAGCTCCCGCTGCTAGTGATCCGCGGTGGCCGGGCCGTTTCCTGGACCGTCCGCCCTCTGACAGCGGCACCGCGGAGCTTTAACCAGCTGCTAAAAGGACGTCTCAGCCTGTTTCCCTCCATTGCCAGATTCTCTTCAACCCGGAACGGCTCGGTTTGGCTCTCCTTTGCTAGACTTGGCTTGGTTCGGTTGTCCTGAATACGGACCGAAGCGCTGCTGCCACCGCCGCCGCCGCCACTACTCACTTCCATAAAGCTAGCGCGGCTAGCGAGCTAAGCTAGTCCGGAATCGATCAAGTTTGATCGGGATCGATCGAATCTATCTCATCGCAGCGGCACAGATAATGTCAACGAAGGAGCACAATAAACTCTCCACGGTGGAGAGACCAATTAAAGGTTCGTAAAATGTTATTCCTTTTTATTTTCTGAAGTCGTTAACGTGAACGCTGTACTGAAGGACGGGCAGCTCAGCGGCCGCTGGGGAACAACTCAGCCCGGCTGACACTTTAGCCAGTCGGTTATGATTTTGAGCATGGCCCCGGTGTATTTTGGTACGATTCTGGAGCTAAGCAGTAAATAATGACTAAGCTCAGTAGCACGAGGCTTTAGACAATTAGCCTTTTTGGTCGTGTAAGTCTCACATGGAGCTCAGGGTCTGGGGGGAGAGTCGGTTCTCTGGGCCGGAGACTGAGCTCCAACACCGGTGTACAGTTTGTATCTGGGTTACGTCTGGAAATGGCTCTGCAGTGGTTTTAGTAACACACACACACGCACACACATACAGATTTGCATTCCCTGTTTCTCTCTAACACACTGTCAACCATTCAGTTACCTGTTAATTATTGTAAGTCGACGAACAGAACGTTGGAGAATGTTGTTGGTGAAAAAACAGAGGAAAGAATCTTCTGGAAACGGACTTTAACTCCTGGTCTGTGATCTGATGTAGAACCAAAGGGTTAAAACTGACTTATCATCTCTGTAAAAAAAAAAAAACCCGTACAGATCAGAATGCAGTTGGTATTCACTGTAATTATTATAACTAGTAGCTGCTGATATAAACAGTCCAACCGTCAAACGGCTCAATTAGACCAGGTTTATTTTCTTCTGGTGACAAATAGTGGGTTTTTATCGACATTTCAACTAAATTGACTAAATTATTAGATGACTAATCAAAAATAGTCGACTCCATAAATGACTATGGAAAAAAAAAGTTAGTTGAAACCATTTGGTAAAAAAAATAGTTGAGTTAAATTGACTGCTTTATTATTGTTGTAAAACATTTAGACTTTGAGCTGTGTACTACATGTACTGTGTACTACATGTACTGTGTACCACATGTACCATGTACCACAGACACTACAAGTGTGTACTCATGCCTATGGTACTCTGGGTACTGACCAAGTTTCCCCTGACCACTGCCGGGGCCGTACACCTCCATCAAATCTTTGAATACTTCCTGTTTTTATAAATACAAACCTTAACGTTTTAAAGTATAACTTAAGAGATATTTGTCATTTACAGTAATCTACCCCAAATGTTGGGTATAAACTGATCCTGCTCATTACTGCCACCTACCAAAGCTCCACTGAGAGTCTTCCTTTTTTTGTTAGACAACAGACCGTTAGCGCCCCCTGTGACCCTGATAAGGAATAAGCAGTAGATGATGAGTGGATAGATGAAGATGATCCAGGTAGAGGTTAGCATCTACTGAAGTTGACTGAGCCTAATAGTTCTTTTTTTTTACGTAGTGTCATTATTTGCATATTTCTTCCGTTTTTTTACTTAGTGTCATTATTTGCATATTTCTTCCGAATCGTTGGCCTGGTTTATATATAGAACAACTGCTCTGGTTGAACAGAGCCCACAGTGTGTAAAGATTTCAATTCCTGTACTGCAGTACTACTGTACATTCTGAAACTGACCAAATTATTCATTCGTTTCATTAATGAGGAAAAAAAACGGAGCGTTTTCTAGATGAAATCCGGTGAATCACAGGAACTCATGGTTTTCCTCCTCTTTGATTTGACGAAATCCGGTGAATCACAGGAACTCTTCTACGAACACTCATGGTTTTCCTCCTCTTTGATTTGTCCAGGACTGAATCCTGAAACTGAGCTCCTGTTCAGACCAAATCATTTGTTGTGTCTTAAATGAGACGTGGGTCGTTTCTAAACCTCCAGCTCCACGGATCAGTTCCAGTCTGTGATGTCACCTCCTCTGTCCTTGAATCAGTGCGTGGTCTCTGCTGAATCGCTCTCCAGCTCTTTATTCCAGCAGTTCATTTTTTTTTTTTTTTTTAATTCTTTCAGAGCGTCTCTTTGTTTCTGTGTGACGACGACGATGTTGCACCAAATTCTGTGACCTCATTAGACACCATCACTGCAGATGCTGGGACACAGGGGGGGTTCTCACCGTGTATGGTAGCTGCGCACCTCTCTCTGAAGGACACCGAGCCGGCGTCGAGGCCCAGCTCGTACGCTCAGTGTCTGTGTCTGCAGGGCTCTGTGTTACAGTAATCAGGAACCTCCCGTGTTCGTGGCTAGATTTAGAACGTCTAAGGTGTGAACGTGGGCTCCTCCCGTAATCCTTTAGAACTGCAACATTACATCATTAGCGTAAATACTCGTATCTGTCTGATGGAACGACGGTGTTCTTTGATGTCGACATAAGTAACTGTCAGGAGAAATAGCTCCATTTAAAGATCTCCGCCAGGGCTGTCATGTAGAGGAAAATCAAGAAAATGGAGCTCGAAAGTGCAGGGAAAAAATCAGTGTGAACCCAGGTAACCTACGTGGTAGAACAGCGTCTGCAGGTGCAGCTAAAGTCAGCGCTTCAGTTCACAAAACATCGCAGTTTTGCACAGTAAATAGAGCAAGGCAGGTTTTAAACCGTGGTCTTTCAGACCCTGGTCGTCCAGACAGACCTTCAGGGACAGACCTTCAGGGACAGATTCAGTCAACAGCCCTCGTTTAGTAAACGAAAAAAAAAAAGAAAATGGAAAAAGATGATGATATGTTGAGATAAAAGATTTATTGATGCATTTGTCTAATAAACCAATAAAAAAAAGACGTCCGGGACAAAGCTCAGTGAGCGTTGATTTCATTATGTAAACAATAGGAGCCAATGAGAGCGAGAGCCAATCAGAGTCTAATCCTAACCCTGATTGTTTGTTGCCTCCAAATGAATAATTATATTTAATCATAATCATAACTAAGCGACACTGTGATTAATCCAGATAAATCAACATTTCTGATATTATTTATCAACTGGCCTTTCACCAACAACATGAATCTGTCTACAGTCGCTCACCATACAGTCGACCGTGGTGTCAGTCAACTGGTCAGTTGTAGACTGTCAGTTGTAGACTGTCAGTTGTAGACTGTCTGTGTTGAATTATTGGATTTACTGTACGGGTTAAAACGCCTTGAAACATTTGAATTTGAGTTCCATTCTGTATCATTAAACACAGTGAACATGTGGATATTTACTGCCTCAACAAATATATTCCACTTTGTTATATTCCAATTTTCTAATCTTGACTAAAATAGTTTTGATATTTTGTCGCCTAGAACTAAAGTGTCAGGTGTAAAACAGACAGAAATTGAACTCTAAATGTCCAAAAACATGATTTACTTTTCTAACCGCTGTGTCCGTCCATGCTGCCTTGTCCATATTGTCTCCGTCTCTGACCGTTAACAGGTGACGACAAGTGACAGGAAATCAATATTCCCACCTTAAAATGGTGGGTTTTTATTACAGGTACATTTAAATAAACTCAAATATGAATAAATTGTCCACTTTTGCTAACTTCCTGTCACCACCACTGTGACTTTTTTTTTTTCAATAAACACACACGTGGTCACAAACCAATAAAGTGTGCAGTTCCACAGCCGGACACGCTGCTCCTCATGAACGGGACGTTACGCCACCTGTTGACCGTTGACCTGAAGCGTCCGTGATTGGTTGAGTGAAGCTGCACTTGTTTAAAGCTGCCTCCTCAGAGAGAAAGGCCCTGTCACTATCACACACACACACACACACACACACACTTCACACTCACCGACGTCTGTGTCCTGACGGCAGAGCAGGTTCACTGTCCTGTCATGCTGGGGGTCCCAGGATGGAGCTCTGCCCTGGGGCCCACGCTGCGTCGGCTTTTGTTTGGTTCAGTGTGAAGTCAGAACATCTGGGTTCTTTAGATTTCATTTTAGGGGCCACTCTAGGTTTCTGTGTGTGTGTGTGTGTGTGTGTGTGTGACAGTGACAAGAACACACTGCCTCTCATTGGTTATCTGAATACCACTTCCTGTCACAACTCCTTTTCACACCAGTGGTTTTTGTTTCCTTCTTTCATCAACATCTTGTAGCTTCTGACGTTTTGACTGCATCCAATCACACCCTTTTTTTCAGCCGTTTCAGGAGGTTTTGAATGGTGTCAAGGCGGCAACTGAAGATTTAAAAGGTCGAACCAAACGCCTGGTTGGAGATGAGCACGTTTCTGCCTTCGGTCTTACCTTTAAGAGTCGTAGAGCAGACGGTGAAAACCCGCTGATCTTTGGGATGCTTGTTTGTTTGGTTTAGTGTTGTC